TTAAAATTATGCGCCTCAAACCTTTCGGGGAGCTGTCATGTAGGTTTTGGGTTGTCCACCCTGTGCAATACGATCTGCTCGAACACACCTCCTGGGAAACTTCGGCGGATCTACGGTATGATGACTTCGTAGCACATGATGTACCTTCTGGGGTACTCCACAATACTATGCGTCCTGGAACATACCCCTCCACAACAACAACAACAACGCGGGACCACGACGACCATGTCTAAGACAAACGACAACGACAGCAATAGGGAGCCTACGACGGCGATGCCGCAGGCCCCGAAGACTCCACCGCTGGCGATGCAACGTCCAACACCGAAGGGATGAGAAACAACAACGAGAGAGCTTACCCATATATCTGCGTGTGGTATTAATTCTCTACAGGTGCATAGCGTGACGTCCATCGTTGGGTTATGTGCTTGGGTAACGGACTTGGCAAGCTTCAGTCGAGGCACCTTTCAACTCTGCAGGAGACGAGCGATCTGTAGGTGCGGATACCGAACGCGCGAGATGGGTGATTGTGTTATGTAGTTCGAGACGCGGCGACAACAGATCAAGTAGCCTCGCGACAAGATGCCAACATCCACCCACCCACCTACCCCACACATTCACGCGCCCCGCTGAGGCGCTGCACCGCTCCGGACAGGGTAGATAGAGTTGCCGCACCTTCACACACCCGCGGAAACGCGTGTTCATGTTTCTACTCCAGAACCTCGCTGTGCAGTTTCGCAAGGAGACAGTGAGGGTCAAGAACTTCTTGACAGGGTGAAAGCCCCGCCAACTCTCCTTTGCGGACAGGTCCGTTCTGAAACTGTGCACAACGAAGCGCAGAGGAGAGGCGAAGTTTTACACGGTTGCGCAGGACTCGGCCTCTCCTCCGCGGGTCGTTTTGCACAGCTTTAGGACGGAGCCGTCCACGACGTAGAGCTGCGGTGGCCCTCACCTTCTGATGAACGTCCTGACCCTCACTTTCCCCTCACGAAACTTGGGTCTCTCCGTCACGGGCCATCGTGCGATGGTTGCGCTTTGCTTTGCTCTCAGCTCCAGAATATGTTTTGAGAGTGAACATCACGGTGATTGATGGGGGGGTGCCCAGATCGGTAGATGATTCCCCCGCTGTTTCTTGCGATGGTTCCTGCTGCGTGCATGTGTATCCTGCTGTGCCACGTTTGATGCCTTGCACGAAATTGACAAGAGGATCGCTCTCCAGCGCCGCGGATGATAAAATCCCAATCTTTTGTTCCTGACTGACTGCAAGCACGCTTTTCTCCACACCTTGCGAAACCTAATACTACGGGAATAGGTGAGCAAGTGAAGTATGACTGGTATCAACACGCCCATGACAACTCTAACATTGAACATACCCTTGAGCTCGCATTCAGATGTATGGGCGGTGGAGGAATGAGAGCAAAACTGCTTAAAGTCAAAGCACGGCCTATGTCGGATGCTCCACAAGTCCCTCCCCTCTTCCCTATCAACAACCTCCATGGGAACACGCCTCTCGTCTTCGGAAAGCTTCCTCGGATCGTCAAGAGCACACAAAACCTGCATGTGTATGGTGTTGAGAAACGCGGACCGAAAACCACCCCATGACTTGTGCACATTCAATTGTTGTCCTCGTTTCAGGTACCATGGTCAACTCTTTGCAATGGTCCTTAGGCGGATCATCGGAGGCCGTCAGGGCCCTTGCAAGCATGGGAGCACAGGAAAAGACGTTTTGTGCTCCGTGTCACAACCGGAGCACCCCGAGGGAAAACAAGTGCAATGGTGAGTCAAGGGACTTCACCGATCAACATAGACTATCGAAATATTCACATCTAATTCACGTCTCGCAACAAATTTTGTTTAGTGATCGGTAAGGCCGCAGTAGTTCTCGAAGGAGTGATCCAGGGTACTGCGCTATCTCGTACTCCCGAGGCAGCTGGCGGGAGATGCTGTTCTCGTTTGCCCGCCGTACAGTAGTCGTTCTCCCATCAATCACGCGTAGAATCATTTCCGACGAAATTCTGTTCCGTTTCCCAAGGCACGTCCATTATCGAAATGCACAACGGTCTTTGGAGGCATCCGTGGGCAAGGTTTCCGCCTTCAAACATGTTGCCGTAAAAAGTTCACAAAGCTACATTAGCTCATGCTGCAACAACGACCACTTCCCCCTCTAACGCATCCCTCACCACCGTTTGGTCTCCGTCAGCGCCCCTGTTCATCCTGACATTGACGGTCTTTTTTCCGTCATTCGGGTGTACAACCGACAGGCGCTCGTCTCGCACGGTACTGCAAATAATGCCTTCGCAGTGAGAGTTCGATGCGTTGAGCTCTGCAGAACTGGAGGCATGGGTAAGGCTTTTGGAGCGTGTCACGCGTGCGTACGAGGAGGAAGCCACATTTTTCGGGGGTAAGCACCATTTGCAGTCGTTGTGTTTTAAACTATACGGAATACCAGCCAGACGTATTTCTATAGTTTCCGTCGTATCGCTAGCCCCCCCTGCCCCCGATGTGATGTTGTTGGTCGTACGTCCTGCATTCGTTTGATGTCGCGTAAGTATTTGCCTGCTGTTTGTTGTTCCGGTGGAGCGTTGGAGAGGACCTGTCTGTTCGTCGTTTTGTTTCCTTTCCCCTTTCTCTTGCTTTCTTTTTCTTTCTTTCTGTCACGGGGTCAATCGTGTCCCGGTTAGTTTCCTTTCTCGTTTGAACAACAAATCGCGTCTTGGAGGACCTTTCTCGGGTCCATCTTTTTATGATTTCTAGAATGGTGGACCCCTTGTTAGGGTGGTTGGCTTGTGACCACGGAAGGCATCCACGTCAGTTGGACCAGTACGGACACTAGGAGGTACAAAGCGGAGACCGGAACGGTGTACAACAGCAGCAGCAACAACAACAAGAACAAAAAAAGTGTTTGCGATGGCGACGGATGGGGCGTCGGTGGCCCTTGTGGTCGGTGTTACGGCTATCGTTGTCGGCGTCAGCGCTTTTATTTTCTACTCGTCAATCAATGTTGTTGATGACATTGTCGCTACTTCCATGTCTATGTTCCTCTACATTCTATAGCCGGTAGCCAGCGGTACGGCTGGTTTTCTCCTGGCATGGGAAGGATGCTGTTACCTCCCGTTTCACGAAGCACCTAGAAATCATCTTGTGTGATGCACATATACGGCAGGACACTCCGCGAGCGCACATCCCGGTGAGTTCTCTCCGTTTCTTGTTGGGGCTGGGACCGTACAGCTTTATCCCCATAATCACCTTCACCCTGTCGATCGACGACTACCCGCTTGAGCTCGGCCCGTGTTTATCGACGGCACCGGTCGTCGCATCCGCCAACGTCGAAGTGACCGTGCAAGGGGACCTCACGCGCACCCTGTCGATCGACGACTACCCGCATAAGCTCGACCGGTTCTTATCGACGGCACCGGTCGTCGAATCCGGCAACGTCGAAGTGACCGTGATCCGGCACCTCACCCCGACCGGGTGAGGTCCCCGATCACGGTCACTTCGACGTTGCCGGAACAGACGACCGGTGCCGTCGACACGCATTGGCCGGGGATCGACGGGTAGTTGCCGACCGGCAGGGTGTTTCACACGAAAGGCGGGCGTCGGAACCCGTCTCTTTCGAGAGTATTCCGAGGTATCGTCGTTGTGAGTTTGGCATCTTCTTCGTTGTGGAGAAGTCTGGCTCCGACCTTCGGTCCCCGGGTTGTGGAAAATCATACAAACTACGGTAGGTATGTGGGGACGTCCGCCTTGCATGATGTTTGTGGGGTGATCCAGACCACTTAGCTGCTATCGGTTCTCCCGTCCACTCTACGGCACGCTCGCGATAAGAAGCCATATGCCACCCCATCTCGGTGAGAAACACGTCTGAAGTTGACGCCGATTCAGTGGATTCATACATGCCGTTTCGCCCCCCCCCCCACCCTTTTCTCCCCTTGCACACGAATTTTCTCCATCACAGGCAAGAATTCCTACACTAGTGTGCTTTCACGAACATGTGCACACCGGTACCCGGCATCAGGAAGGTCCCTATATGGTCAGCGTTAGGCACAACGTCTGGACATAGCCTACATTCCGGATTATTCATATGATTTCGATGGACCCGTGGGAAATTGTATTGAAACCCAATGAGAGACGGTGCAACCTACAGTATTTCGATGAACAATCGCAAACAACGTTGACCGAAAATTCCCGCAAGATCTATCAATGAAATCAACCCAACCAACCTCCAAACCCAGAGCAACAATAGCACACATCAGAGACCCCCAAAACGCATCGAACAAAAGCAGTCTTATATCGAAAGGGCTTCTGTAAGTCAATAGAGCTGCCGAGTGAATGTTTCGCCGCGAAAACTTCTGTGAGGCATCGCTGTCAAATATCGATTCCGGTCATACCAACAAAAAGCACCCACTGCCTGGTTCTCTCTGAAGCCCCCGGTTTCGAACCTCAACACCATGTCCCTACTTCCCTGCCACCAAATTATGCATGCTACTTTGGACTACGTGTCGTTTTCTCTTTTGAACAAACAAGCGCCTAGACAAAAGAGACAATTGTTTCCTCCTCCTATAATATACCTCCAACGTTCTGACCATGTCAAGCCGCTACTCGCCTGCATACGTGTTGAATGACGCCGAAAGACGTAAGCGAGCCAATACTCGTCAGTGGTGAAGAATCCATGTGGCATCATGAAAGTTATACGGCGCATACATATATGTAACCCTAACCCGAAACTCTGTAATAAGCGCTCCCCCGTGGGTTTCATTCGATAGCGAAATGATCCCCGACAACCCGGTCACCAAGCCATCCTTTGCACGGTATCATATGTAGCGGTAGAAATCAAACCCAAAGGCACACCGCAGTAACCGTCACAACAATCGAACCATAGCCTACAATCACCACACATTTCGCATACACACCGTGACGTTCATCGAAATCACTGCGATATTTGTCACAAGTCATCTCAAGGTATCATGCTGCCGCCCTACCGACAGGCAAGCAATCTTGAAACCTCACGGAGGTACGCCACAACTGGGATCGTAGTCAGTCAGAAGCACGGTGAACTCTACGATATCGGACTGGACCTGTTCCTCCTTGTACATGTAGACGATCTCCCCTGAAACACGAGCGGTAATACGCCAAGTCGGCGGGGTTTCGGAAGGTAGAATTGGTAAAAACTTGCGCCCTTTGTACTCGCCCAGCACCTGGCTGGTGTCGACGTCAAGCCCGCTGTAGAGAATGTACCTTTTGGCCGCGGGTGAGCTCCCTGCCCAATTGTCCTGGAAGACTCCGACGCCCTGCAGAAGACAGAATCATGCGCCGTGCATTGATGGGCTTGAAGCAACCGGAGATCGGGGACGAGAAAAACTACTACTTGATGAGGTAAGCGCATTGCCAGCCAACAACACAACACCGCACATCACCCACAAATACGCACGCGCGTAAGCAACACTCTCCCCACTTACCCCGGAATAGTTCCCATGACCGGAGTGGATGGTGGTTAGGTCGGGTTCAGTGATCTCATAGGGAGCAAAATTGCCACCGATCCACTCGTGAGTGATGGTCAAAGACGGGACGCATGCCATGTTGGAGATTTGAAGCGAGAATATTGACGTTGCCGGCACCACCTCCGCCGCGACGTTCAGCGCCTCCGCGGGATCCTTGATGACAAAGCTGAGGAACAGCCTGCTGTTTCCAGGAGGGACGTCCATCACGACCATCGAGAAGTCTCCGGATGTGCCTCGTATTTTGGAGCTGCCGCGTGCAATGTCGTCCGGCTGGTCTGCGTTCTCGATGTAGAAGAAGACGGCCGACGAGAAGGGCAGCGGTGCGCTGTCGTGACGGACGAACTTGCCGGACACGTAGACAGATCCGAGGTTCGCGTCAGTGAGTTCGATCTCGCCCCATGGTTGTATGTCCACTTCGGTAACGCCGAACCCACCCATCACTCCTCCGTCGATGAGGGATCCCGGACCAGCGAAGCCACCCGTCGCCTGTGCGTGGGCATCCAAATGTACATATACATGGATCGTTGCATAATACATGATGCAAGCAATTTTGTATGGCATGACAGGTTGATTCGGTTCACGGTTGGCCGTACCCCACAGAAGGCTACCAGCTTCGTAGACGCCTCTGGGACTCTAGAGCATTGGGCGTGGTCTGGTATCATCTCCCTTCGCCACAACAGTTTATTGCTGCAACTAATCATGAGGTGACAAACCGCCGCTAGTTTCTCGTCCATTGGCCACGTTACCGCGTCAAACGTCAGATGAAAACCAAGTACCGGGTGTGGATTTTACGGAAGCACGGGCGTGGTGCATTATTTGTGTTTGGTACAATTGTCAATGTCAAAGCGGATGCCCGACTTGACATTTTGAAGGAGTGTTGTAGACACACCATCTCTTCCTCGCCGCCCACGGTTACAATGTCTCCAATTTTAACCCTCACTCGAGAAACCACACAGATACTCACGTCAGCTAACATGGCAGCGACGATAGCCTCGGAGGGGAGAGCTACTGCGGGGACCCCTGGTTCAACGAACAGTCCAAGGAACGTCGGGTGCAGATGTTTGGATAGCGTAAACGATAGAAAAAAATGCCGGTTTCACGCGGAGAACTTTCCGACGGCGAGAGTCCGACGCACAGATGTGAAATTAACGCTCGTTTCCTGCCTCTCGTGGACAGGAGGAAGCACAGCGACAACTCCAGCAGGACTCCCCGTACAGTCAGCCCCGTGATTTCAGCTTTGGCTCTGTACGTATGCCCTTCATTTGAAGCACAAGCACAAGCTGAACTTTTCCAACGAAGCAAGAATCAAACCAGCGTTTAACTTCCCACGGCGAGCTTCTCAACTGCGGTAGACAACCGCACCAGTAAAAGTCTTCGTCGTGCCTGTAAAGTCGAGGCGTTCGTGCGAACCATCTGAGTCATGGGCGAAAGTTTGGCGCACACCCAACTACAGTAATGAGGCGCGTACCTTGGGGGACGCACACTTTCGCACCACGCCCTGAAACCTCCCCGGCGGGGCAATCCGTGCAGGGTGGTGTGCCTGTGCTGCTAAAGGTGTTGGTCGTGCAGAGACCTTTTCGCGGGTTCAGGCATGGCATGGAAGAACAATCAAGATTTGTGCTGCTGCAGGGATCATTTGGCGTGAGAATTACCCTCGAGTCGAGTGATGTGCCACGGTAACGTAGCGCCGGCAGGGAACCTTAGCTACACACGCATTTTTGGAAGAAAACAGAGAAAGTTTTGTACAGTACTGCTAAATAGATCGGGGATACATTTTACCGTACTTTTCACAAAGAAGAAAAATCCGCCGTCGGCAGAAGTCCACGAACGACACACAAGTGCGATCACATCACCTCAGTTCCAACTGCTCTCTCACCTCCAAGTCCTTCCTGGTAGACTCGGGCCGCCTCTTCTTCTTTGAGGGTTGCCTCACCCACCTCCTCGCCAGCAAGGAGGGCATCGAATACACAGTTGGTGTTGTCGCCACACAGCTGGGGCAAGAGAAGGAAAATATGGTGGCGTGGGCTCATGTTTCATCAGCTGGTCAACACGGCAACACTCGCTAAGATGGATTCTAGGTGACCCTGAACTAAGAGCATGAAAAAAAGCTGTAGCTTCGTTCTGGGTGGCTTGCACAGCGGGTCAATGCTCGGAAGGCGGCACACGCAGAACGCGCCCCGAGTTGAAGGCCAGTAACCACAGAGATTATTTCTCCTTGCATACCCCCGGCCCATAACCGGGTCTCCCACACCTTCGAAAGTTTTACTGAACTGTCCATGGGGAGCCCATGGGCGGCCAGTTATTGCCCTTCAGCCGGACCTACTGCAGTGTACTCCTCAACAATAGGTTATCTGCTTTGAACGTGCACTATAGCAGCTAATAATCGTAACGCTAACCTACCCCAAACCCCGAGCCCACACGACACGTGCTAGGTTGGCGCTGGGTGGCTCAGCTCTAGGTTCATGTGCCGATGGCTAAGTTCTAGATTGATGTGCCGGTTGCGAGTTGTAGGTTAAAGCAACCACGATAGGGACTTCGTAGGCAGTCCATCGGCTGCCTATGGTGCCCAATGGGCGGCTTAGCAACATTGCCAGTGGTATGGGAGATAGTCATAACCACAACCAATTCCGTGCCCTTTCACCTCCGTGACTGCAGCCGGGATGACGTCGGGTAGCACGGGCGCGACGTAAACCACGTCACACAAGTCGTACGTGCCGTGGTCTTCTCCCTCTGCGTAAGTGAATATCGAAGAGTCCTCGGTGGTGCACCAGTTCGTGGTGCAGTAGTTCGTGCCTTCCGCAACTGTCGGGTGCTCTGACGCAAACTCGACAATCTCATTGTCCGCAGTCTGTTGGATGGTGGAGCAGAGTGGGCAAACCTCAACGGTAAGACTCCTTCTTCGTGTCGAAAAACGGTACGTGATCTCGGGAGCAATGAGGGGGGGGGGACTGAAGACGTGGACAATCACGCAAGCACCTCGCGTGGCGAGAGGCTTCATGGTAGAGAGAGCCAAACATCGCAGTAGTATACCACCAAAGCTTCACGTGAGCACGGCAATGAGGTGCACATGTACACAAAAACCGAAACCCACCCTCCCAGTCAGGCGTTTTCAATCGGCGGGCTTTCTGATAAGTCGTCGATCGATCGGTGCCCTCACCCTCCAATCGTCTCCAATGTTCCCGTTGTTGTTGCCGAGAAGACCCGTCGTGGCGAGATCGAGAGGTACGTACGCGTCGATTCTCAGAATCCCGCCTGTGCGGGACAACACGATTACTTCCATTCCCGACGGGAAGATCATCTCCACCCGCGCCTCCAGGAGCTCTAGCGCAACTCCGGTGAGAGTTGTACCAGCGGCCTCATCGTACAGCTCACCATCCACCCACACCTCGAGCCCGCCGGAGGCGGTCGACGTCGCCTGAATCACGGATGAAGTTCCTTCGCGCGCTGCGACGGCGGTGGCCACAGTGACCCCTGGGGTTGGGTTTTGGCTCCATTGCTGGAAGCGCGCTTGAACCTCGCTGTCGGTGGCCGCAGCTTTGGTGACCACGAATTCGCCCTGCCCGTGGCAATCGTACCCGACATCGTCGTATCCCTCCACGTGAGGATCTCCGCCTATGGATCCACCTTTTTCGTACGGGTTTCGACGGAAACGGAAAACAAAAAAGTAGCGCACCTGGCTTCACTTTACGCCAAAGTGAGACAGTTGCGCACCCGCCACCGTAGAAATAAGGCCTTGGTAATCGAGAGCACAACCTGATAATCTGCTGCCGATGATATCTCGACGATAGACTACCTCCAGTGCGCGAAGACTGCTGCAAGCCACCCCATGCAGAAGACTCGAATTCTACAATGAAACAGGATTCTTCAAGGAAACTGGCCGAAGCTGCGCCAGCGCGTGGCGAGACCCTTGCCAACGGAATTGCTCCCTCTCTCCGTACTTACCGCGTTTCGGCACGTTGTCTGCAATCTGCCGGTGGATAGGGTGATTAAGGATCGAAGCAGAGAAAGACACAAGGGTGACGTTAAGCCAGGTTGCTCTGGTTATGATTTTTTGGCCAATGCTGGCGCTGACAAGCGCTGACGATACACGAACAACAATGTAAGGTGCATAAGGCGGGTACAAGTCTTGGTATCCTGTTTATCCATGGTATGGATACAACAACTTCGCGTGGCTACAATATTGACATGGACGTAAGATGATATCCACTGCCTCTCGTGTGCAAGTCTACTGTAGTTGTGCCTCAGAAGTCTCGAGAAGGAATAAAATTTGGCGCATCATGATAGAAAGCTGTGCACCCTTCCCGCATGAAAGCACGGTGGTCCATTGGCCACACCCCTATAGGGGGATCAGATGATACCGTACTTCGAGCATTACCAGCTGCGAGACTCACCAGTTGGGGAGCGGGTGTGATTCGCGCAGGTGTGGGAGGGGTAACCTGAGCAGCGTATCGAAGCACAACAATGAAATACCAGCCTTGTGTTTACGTACATAGGAACTGCACCGAGGAGGTCAGGAGCGAACTTTCAGGAGAATGCAGAGAGTAAAGAGAACACAACATCCTGGTCAATGTGAACCCATCCTGCTTGAGGGAAAGTATGATGTAAGAACGTGAACTGGATTCGAAACCACACCTCTCTTCAATCGTAGCGCTATTGAATCCGTCGCAAGCGGTTGAATTCCCCCGCCTGATCTCTTCCGACCTGTCTCGTAGACGGGTACCTGATACTACATGTCAAGGGTAGATCATCGTGCGAAAAGTCTCTAGCAATGGCCAAACGGCAGTTAGTGAACCTCAATGAAGAGCGGCGAGTGAAAAGGCCAACAAAAATGTTTTGCAATAGATCTCGATCAGTTCTTTCGCTGTCACACAAGCAACACACAGCGATCTTGACATTGCATTTTACTCACGGGAGAGCAGGCGGACCCGATGTCGATAATGGAGTCATCTTCGCAGCAAGTAGAGTCTTGCGGGTCATAGCACGACGAGCCGTAGATGCATTGCACCTGTCGCCGAGGACCATTCAGAGCGTTCTTAAGTCAGCAAATGCCACCTAAGAGAAACTACCACCCTTAACCAGCACATGGAAGCAAAATGGCCCGAACGGAAGTTCACGACCAATATAAACGTACATAGTTAATGGCAGCTCCACGACATCACCAAGTCACCCCCAGCTGTGGATGTACACACATCAAAGTCATGACTGAGAAGCGTCTTGTTTTTTCATATCGTGACTACTCACTTCGTTGGGGCCTCACTCGCCATTTGACGCAATGCTTCCGTCGTCGCATGCCTGCAGACAGGTGCGTGAGCAGAACAAATGTATCCCAGGGGTCGGTGACGAGGACGCAAAACATACCCTGAAGATATAGACTTTTATCTTCCGCATTTCTTCGTGTCTCGAGGCTGGGATCACGGGCAAGACGCCGAAAAGGTGTTGTTGGCCAAATACAATCCTAACATCAGGAGGTAAAGGTTTGCAAGCGCTAGTAACATGACGCAGAACATTCGCAAGAGCATTTGCTGGCTTCGAAAGGTTGTTCCTAGGATTCTATATGTTATGTCGGGCCTGCTAACCCACTACACCATGTAATTGTCGGATGACAAACGAAACGAGAGTCAGTAGTGGTACGTGTCTGAGAAAGGGAGCGCACGTGGGTGTAGGATTCTGCTCGGCTAGAACCGCTGGAGAACCGAATGGATAGCAAATCTTGGCAAACCCAACACAAAACATCAACAGAGAGAGAATACAGATACTTCGGAGATCCTATCCTACGAAATAGATCACTCACGCGTGGGCACCCGATGCCTGTGGCGACGAAGGAGCCGTCTTCGCAGCATTCGTGGAGCACCGGGTCGTAGCACGAGCCTTGGCACCTTTCCTGCCCGCACCCATGTTCCGGAAGTGCCGAACATCACAATTGCTATCGAGACACTTCGTTTTGATCCTCACGTACAACATATTCTTGATAGGATCATCGGTGTGTATCCAAGAATCCAACTTTCATGCCGTGAATATTCATAACATCAGTTGCGTTTCACAGAGTGGGTGTCCTTGAGCATCATACCTCGCCGATGCAGCACTCGTCCCATCCCACAACGCTTTCGTCCGCACAACAGTTCACGGCCCCGTTGAACCCCAAATACCCGGCGCAACACTCGTCCTGGTCCAAGATGTTGCCATCGGCGCAGCACTGCGTCGTAAGCGGATCGTGACAACGGGTTCCGCACGGCACCTGCGTGGAAGCAAGGAGCATGCCGCAAAACAAAAATATTCATCATGATCTTCGCAGGAATCTATAGTAAAGGTTATACATTGATACGGAGAAACCAAGGAAATGGAATATTTTTCTAGCTATGTAAGATCAATCTGTGTTCTATGCATACACTAGTAGATACCGAACTATAGAAGCGACCACAGAGCGAAGTGCCCCAATTTCAAGCGGTAATAAAGGGTTTGGGTGATCGTTGCCCCGTGTGTAACTGCCTGCAACAAGCAAGCATATGGCCGAAACGAGCCGGTCGACAGAGGAATGCGCGCATGGCCACATCTTATCTACCTCCTCGTTGCAGCATGTGGCAATGGTGCCATCACAGCACTGGAAATCCAACGGGTCGTAGCACTCGCCGTGGCACTCCGCCTGTAATGCCGAAAACACGATGTCGTGAGAAACGATCAGACAATGTGATTGATGTCGGCCAGGGTGTTGGACTAGAGCGAGGGCGTCGGATGGAAACTGTTCGAAGGTAAGCGGCGGTGCGGTCATCCTGAAGGCAGCGAGCGATGGATACGCAACAAACGCCCAAACGTACGTAGAAGATTCAGGTGGCTCACCGCAATGAATAGCTTTCCTAGAACTTCTCCTTGCTAGTGCAAAAACGAAACAGGTTAGTTCAACCGCCATGCGTCTGTCGAAGGGACCTGCGGGGTGTGGTTTTTGCGGAACATCCGTTGATAGGTCGGCCATTTTGTTTTCATGGATGAATTCTGGAAGGAAACGGTCAACGTTCAACAGTCGACTGCCACAACGAGGGTAGAGCGAGACATGACCTCATCCCGACTGGTCGACGCACCTCACTCGGGCAGCACTCGTTTGAGGAAACAACCGTAGTGGGATGTACTCCTTTTGCTGGACAACACGTTTCAGGGCCCGAGATGTAGCACAATGGATTCCCGTCAATGCCAAGATTGTTTCCACAGCGGTCGAGGCCGCAGCACTCCTCGACCACTTCCTCCTCGCAGCAGTCGCTAGTCTCGATGATAGAGAAGTTGTCGCAACATTTCTTGACGTCGTCGTCGTAGCAGGATAGTCCCCCCTCGCGGGGGACACCACACAGAGAGCGTTCGCAGCAAATTTGGTTGTTGCATACATCCGTAAGCTCGTACATCGTTGTGGTTTCTAATTCCGAAACACAGCCAGCCCCAAGGATAAGGCACAAGGCCCAAAACGCCTGTGCTAATGTTGCGGTATTCCCTCCAAGAAAAGTACCGATAATGCCTCCTGAAAAACCGCAGACAAGCAGCTCATACCGGCATAGCCGAAATATAGTATCTGCACAAGAATCACATGTGACTTCCGCCTCCACGAGTGAACCAAATTGAAGGGCACGATGATGACCGTCAAAGCTCCTGGGAACCACGTCCGTGATCTCTCCGCCGCTGTATATAACATCATACAGCTCCGTCCCGATCTGTATTTGGCTCAGCCGCTCCTCAGTCTTGTGGAAGAAAAAGGTGACGCCGTCCCCTTCAGGACTGGGTACGTAGGCCACGGCACCCCAGTGGTCAGTCTCTTTTATCTTCACCTCGCTCCCCTCAACCCGCCACGTCAGCCACGGCGACTCGACATCTGTATCGGACGCAACGACGGCGTCGTCGGTGAAAGCCGGTCCGCCACTTCTTTGGGAATCTTTGTAGTCTACTATTGATCTTTGGTTGGGCTAGCTCAGAGGGTGGAACTAGGTGCGGGGGGGCAACGGCCAGATAGACGTGCGGGATATAGTAGTGGCGAGTGGCGAGGTAATGGATACTACAATAGTTTGAGGAACGATGAGGAGAACGAAGGTACAGATGCCAAGGTGAAAACGCTTACCGGTGGTCAGGAATGCTGTCGGAGAAGCGGTCGGTGCGGCTGTGGGCGTGTCGCTGGTGGTCAGAAGACCGGTCGGTGCGGCCGTTTCCGAACTCCCTTTAGAAAAGAAAAAGGGCCGGCATGGGTGGCCGCCGCACGACGCGAACAAAACGTGCGACAAATGACAAACCCGAGAGAGAATAGTCACAGGAGAACACGGTGGGAGAGGAAAAGGCAGGAAAAGAGCAGGGGGGTGGAGACGAAAGGAGAGGGAAAAAGGGCAAGGGAAGGAGGCGAAACAACCGATAAGTTCAGAAAGCGACAATTGCGTGTTTCATCGCAACCGAATGCCGCTTTGCCGGGAAAGCAGTCAAGGCTGCCGACCAGAAACATTCGCGGCACGCTGAGGGGGCTTCAAACTGCTTAATCGAGTCCATATTTTTTCTAGAAACGATGTTCCCGCTGCTCACCACAGGTCCCGCGATAGTACAGGGAAAACGCGTAAACCCCGCCGCAGGCCCGAGATCCCTCTCCCGTGCAGGGGTACCCAGTACAAGAGGTGGCGCCGTGCCTGTCATAACGGTGGAGGCCCTCATCCAGCAGTTCGCATCCCCCGCACCAGCACCTATTGGGGGGACGGTTAGGGAACAAGCGCGCCGACGAAAACCCGAGCGTTTGATAACGGAAAAAAAACTGAGAGGAAAATGATGTGTGCCGTCTGAAAGGGTAACACCGCGTCCTGGTCTATCCAGCTACGTGACATTCGAGGTGGGGACAGAGCATCAAGGTGGATGCCCCCCTTCGAGTACAAGCTTTCACACCTGCCAAGGTTTCGCACTATTTGTTGCAACCGATTGACATACGCTACAGGCACTTTGGACAATGGCAAGTCAGCCGGGGACCCAGACCCGAAGAAATTCCTCACTCTTGTCCCCACTGAAGGGCGAAGAACTCCTTGTCCCGTGCATTGCAGTAGTCTTCGCACACCTGCATGGCCAAGTCAAACAGGCAAGGAGGCACAGCGGAGGTAACCTGGACTTTGACGCACCCAAGCTCATCAACAAGTGCAAAACCTCGGCCAAATGTCAACCCTGCACAGCTGGACGATACCCTCCCCTTGCACAAGGGTGCCGCAATCTCTGAATTTAGCAGATACCACAAGATCCAGGGTGAGGGCCGACCTCGTGCAACAAGGTCCGAAACCGTTCGGGTTATGACATATCTTGCGTTGACTCAAGGTGCACGGAAAGTCATCCAGTTGTTCATCCCTTCTGCAACGTCGACGGACAACGTCCCATACGACCCGCCAAGGCCAAAAGTACCGAAGCGCGTCTACAACGTTTGGCCTGTGCTTAGCCTTGTCAATGTGGCTATTTGAGCCTTGTCCAGGTGCTACGAAGCAAAAACACCGAATCCTTGTCTGTAACATCAAGATATCTTGAAACCTT